GTTCTGAAATCTGACTGGGGAAGTGTAGCCTTTGACAACTAAACTGTCATCACTGATTTTTCCAAGCTTCTACTTTTACATTCTTCCCAAAAGATGTGGCAAATCATGAGTTACATCCTTAGCAAGGGAAGAGACATAGACTTAGCAGATGTCGAGATTTTCCAATTTTAATTATGGCAATTTATTCTTTTGTTCTTTCACAAAGCTACTCAAGTAGTTTAAAAAGAATAGGGCTTGGTGTCCAAAGTTTGCTGCAAGTACCATGCTCTACATAGTAAGTTCTGAATCAATTTTTTGCTACATAGACCGTGAGCCACCAAGTTCACAAGAATGATAAATTTTGTGAGGCCACAAGCTAACAAATTCCTTCACTGCTTCAGGACTTAAGCATATTTGTGCCACTTCTTTGAAAGATTTTCATGGAAGGGAAATTCTGTTGTTTTTTATCCTGCTGTGTCAATTTTTTAATTTTACTCTCTCTTAGTTTGAAAAAACTTAGTAATTTATGCGGTGCTACCAATTAATGTTCACAAGAGGGCATCATTTCAATATCTGTTTTAATTACCAGTATTCACAGACACACATTATACCAAATTAAATCACCAGCCAGAGAGCCTTTAAAAATTAGTCACTACATCCAGACACGGCAATTGTGTCTTTAGTTTACTTATAGGGTAAAGCACTACTTCTCAGAGGCACTCAAAGCCAACTGATCAATGTAGGTAACTTCTCACATTCTTATGAACCATAAGGAACTAAAACTAAAATAAGAAATATCATTAAGTCAACAGTGTGGACCTCTTCCAGAGTAGCACATGGCTACCAAACAATTCATAAAAAGAAGCTTGTGACTGGGGTTAGTGAAACTTTGAGATCAGGACATCAATATTTCACTCTTGCTAGCTTAACCCTTGCCTCTTGTTTCTTCAAGAATGAAAAAGAAAGTTGGCTATAGTAGACATTTCTTCTAGTTCCACACGTGACGCTTGCAGTGTTCAACAGCCTAAAAAAGAAAAACAAGGGATAACAAACTATTCCTTTACAAGCAGCCCAAAAAAATGACTAGAATCTTTTGTATTAGTTCCTGGTTTTATAGGGTAAAAGAAATGCTAGAAACAGTGGGCTATTTACAGCAGTGGTTCTCAGCCTTTTGTGTATTACTTCCCACCAATCACTAACAAAACACTTGACTCCCACCATGAGAACAAAGTCCATTTTTCTATGGTTAAAATTTATCATTTGTGATAAGTTGGTGGGCAGAGAAGATGGGATTCAGGGAAAAAATGCTGTCCAGATTAGTACAAGCAAACCAAGAAACCAAAAGTTAGGTATTGTGTGGGAGGTAGTATCAGTGAGACCACATATCATGCCTCCAGGTCATGCACCCTGAAGGGTCTTCAGTAATTGTTATGAAAATCTTAAGTGTTTCACATAGATTACTTCTGTACCACTGAGGTACACAACTGTTCATAAATACAAAGAAATCTCCTTTACTTACATCGCACTGCAATGCTGTTTCCATGTTTTTACACCAATAGCCAGGTCCACGGACACATACCTCTGACCCCAAAAGAGGCTGTGTGGATATCTCACAAACTCCAAGTTTCTGTAACATGAGAGGGGACAACGGTAGAGTTACTACCTCATTCTGATAAAAATTTGGATTCCCACTCCAGCCCTTATAACCTCCACATGGTCTAGACAAATGTCAAAGAAAAACTGTGTTAGCTGGTCAAACTAGCTTAATAATTCCATTTTGTTTGAAGAAGCTATTGAGTCTGAGTTTCAGAACACAAAGCCACATGAATCCTCACCGGAATAGAAAAAATAAGACAACCCTGAATAGAAAAAATAAGACAAAATAAGACAACTTTAACTTTAAGATGAAATCTCACAGTGGTATGTTTTCACTTGCCAGTGACAGAATATAAACAACATGAGCTCAGACGTCAGATCTTAAGGAACATAACAGCAAAACTAGCACAGGTTGAATGTCCCTTATCAGAAAAGCTCAGGACCAGAGGTGTTTTGGAATACATGTATTTGCATATATGTACATAATAAGATATTTTGAAGATGGGACCTAAGTCTAAATTCCAAATTCATTTAAGTTACAATATTTTAAATAAATTATATGTTTTTGAGCATGAAAAATAAGTCTGCATATACACTGAAGCCTCAGAAAGCAAAGGTGTCACTACTTCAGCCAGCTATGTGGACAATTTTGAATTTCCTAATTCCTGATAAGGGAGATGACTCAGCATGTATATAATAAGGAAAACAACATTGAAGTTTTATAGGAAACGTTATTTTAGATGCAGTACTTACACTACACACAAAAGTAGGGTCCATCATTTCTGCCAAGAGCTGTACAACTATTGGTTCATATTGATCCACAAACTGTACACACTGGTGGTTTTTTTTAAAGAAAAATGAAAAAGAAGAAGACATAATGAAAAGCTGATTACAAGACTCAATTAAAGTACACATACTAAAGACCTAGAATCATTCCTTGCAATGGGTGCAATCCAGCCGAGCTGAGAGGCATTAATGCCCTATTGATTTCAGTCTTACACTACATCCTGGTAGGCATCCTGATGACCTTCCAGATGCTTTGGACAAGAACTACACATAAGCATGGCTAAATTCAGGGATTATGAGTGTTTTGGTGCAAAATATCTGGA